TTCAAGCTTGACAAAAAATAATAAAAGATAAAACATGAAATCCAACAGAGTGGATAAAAATCTGTTTTGTACACAAGTATTGTGTAGGTTTTTACATAATTTATAAATTAACGAAATAAAAGAAGATTACGTCTTTGGATTTTAAAACAAGTGGAAAAAAATTTAACGTCGTTTTTGTTGCACCGGAAGTTAGTCGGAGGACAAATGATGTAACACACGGAATGTTCCTGAATCAACCTAAGGTCGAAATAAAGCGGGGTGTTTCAGTCGAAGAGGCGAAGTGTTGTATCGGATTTCTTAGTACAACGTGCTCTTAAATCTACCTAATTAAAGATGCCTAGAGGAAGCAGAAGCAGGACTTCCAGGATGCCCGCTCCAGCCAGGTAGTTAAATTTGGCTGTATTATTAAAAGTTGTTGAAATGTTCTGTGCTCGTGCGTGAGCTAGCTAGCATGCTAACGGTCAGGTAACGGCGTCATCATTGCCAAGAAAGTCAAATAACGATTTGGTACAATAAATAACTAATAATGATAGCAATAAATAACTAAAATTTTAATTTAATACCAGTCTTGCGTCGTTGCAGAAGTCTGAGTAAAATTACGAAGGTCACCAAGTTACAAGTGTAATTGCGTCATCCGGCAATTAAACTGAAGACAAAAAAGTGAGGTCAAAACTTTATTTATAGAGCACATTTAAAACAAACTGTTATCAGTAATGCTTAACAATAACATCAGTGGGAGTAAAATTAATGAAACAATAAACACCACACACTAATGGTAATACTGAAGAATTAATAAAAAGCATTTAAAAACAGAGAACAACAAACACTAAATCAACTCACACTGTGTGAAAGGGTAACGAACCTGTTCCAATATTAATATACCCCGTTGTAAATCTAATTATGTGTGTGTGTGTGTGTGTGTGTGTGTGTGTGTGCATTTCAACTAAATTGTTTAGGTGTAAAATAATTTAGTTTTTTTATTTTAAGTTTATGTAGTCGAGCAAAGGGAACAAGGTCTGGAGTAAATTATTGTTCGGCTGTCTAGTCATCCATTACCTCTACTTTATTGTCCACTTCCACTTGAATTAAATGTGTGTTGTTCATTGTGCTCTCTTCACCTTACTGTTGTGAAGTATTGGATGAACTATGGAGGCTGTAGTTGTGTACTGAACTGAAACACAATGAAAAGTCAGTCTTCACCGCTCTGTTGTCTGTCCAGAGAAAACTGGGATCTGTGATCCTGACACCAAGCACACTGTTTTAACTCTGAGCTTTCAGCTGTTCAGTAAGCCGCTCAATGTTCCACCTGTTTTTAGATCAAGTATAATTGAAATTCAAAACACTGAAATTATTGATCTTGACTAAATATTTGCATTATAAATGCCCACATGTAAACATCTTGCCTCGATCAGTGTGGTAGTGTAACTACCTTACTGGCTGTCATAAATTTTATTTGTTGTGAACATGTATAGATATTTGAATACAAATATTGAAAGGGAATATGCATTGGCTCATTGTAGATGGTTAATTTATTGATAATTTATTTTGTTTTATGCTAATAAGTGTAACTTTTTACTATTTACAGCCGGGCTCCACCTGCAGCCCGCGCTGCACCCCCTCCATCTCACGCCCCGGTTCCGATGCAGGCCCCTCCGTCTGCTGTAGGAGCTCCAGCTGCAGCACCCAGACAGCCTGGTATGTTCGCTCAAATGGCAACCACAGCCGCTGGCGTGGCAGTGGGTTCTGCAGTTGGACACACCATCGGCCACGCCATGACCGGAGCCTTCAGTGGAGGCAGCTCGGAGCCTACCAAGCCTGACGTCACATACCAGGTAAACAGAAGTGTGTCCTGGATTAGTATTAGGGGAGATTAGTGAGTTTAGTACACAGCAGGTCAGACAGTAAGACTACAGGTCAGCAAATGTGACCCTTAACTAGTCTGAACACTGTAACAATATTACAGTATAGAAAAAAATTTGAAGGTGTTACCTTGAGTATTTAAACTTTTACAGAGACATTTGGACTGGATTATCTACATTTAATGATTAGGATGAATCAACATTGCCACCTTTTGAATATATTTATTTATTTGTTGGTTGTAAAAAAAAGAAAAACAAGTTTAGATTAAAATACACCTTTTTTAAACCATAACCCCAGTTTATAGTGATTTTAATGAAATCTGGTTATTTTCTGGTGAAAATGCCATAAAACCTCCACTCATGTAAACCATCATTACTTGGATATTTACCAGTAAATTAGTACATTTGTCACTGCCCATATCTTGATGCATGCACAATAATCCAGGTTGAAAAATCTAACAACGTGAAGTCGGGTCCTCTGGACGAATTCTTGTTGAAAACATTTCTTCTTTTATCCAAACGACTTTGTCATTCTGAGGAGCTGCAATAAACTATAACTTCTGATCACCTTCTTTGATCCACTATGAGAAGATGCTATTTATAAGATGAGTTTATTGCAGCTCCTCAGACTGACGAAGTCTTATGGGTAAAAGACAAAACGTTTCAACAAGAATCTGTCCAGAGGACATGACTTTGTTAGATCACTTTATAATTTATAAAATCCTTTAGCAGATCAAATGTCAGAGTCATAGTTTCTTTATTGTCATTCGCACCTCATGTGGTACATGTGGTGGAGCGAAATTATGTACACAAGGTCCCAGTTACATCCAACAATAAAATGTATAAGAATAACAGTAATAACATGTAAGATATGAACTAAGAAATGTAAGGTTGTTATTTAGTATATCTTTACAATATATGTTTTTTGTGTGTGTGTGTGTGTGTGTGTGTGTGTTAACACAGACTGACCTGTTTTGGAAACAACTGCCATCTCTTTAGATTTATGAAAGAAGTTTTTTAAACATGCAATATTTAAGCATCCCATCTTGTGCTGCGTTTCAGGAGCCGTACCAGCAGCAGCCCCAACAGCAGTTTCAGCAGCAGGCTTGTTCCTACGAGATGAAACAGTTCCTCGAGTGTGCCCAAAACCAGGGTGACCTGAAACTCTGCGAGGGATTCAGCGAGGTGCTCAAGCAGTGCCGGTTTGCAAATGGTGAGGATAAAACATCTGTCTGCAGCTGCTGTTTTTAAAGAAACCTACCACACTGAAGGAGCTGCAAGGACTGTATTCTTTGCATCAGTTTCTTTGATGTCTGACTGTAGCATGATAAATTAATCCCACGTTAATAACTAAATTTAAAAACTTTTGTCACAAATACCTTTTTTTTATTCATTTGACTAAAACTATGAGCATATGCATTTATTAAAACTATGAGTTGTAATATTTAATTTTAAAACGGTGGTGTAAAAGATTATTTTTAATGCTCATCACTTTGATGGCTGCAGAGGATTTGAGATTCAGGATGACTATAATTACAGGATGACTTTGCACTTTGGTGAGAGGTTTTGCAGTACTCACTGTAGCCACAAGGAGGCAGTGTGTGCTTTTTCTGCCCTCTGAGGCTGTAAAATATATAGCAGCTCTTTCACTGTGAGACTTTTAACTGGCTTTCTCAGTTCATAATAAAAACAAAGTTTATCTTATCAACCTTTGTTTTTTTTCCCCCACAGGTCTATCTTGAACCGAAGACGAGTCCTGCAGCATGAAGATCACACATCATCATTAGATACTAGCAGAGTGTAACTTTAAAGGGAGCAGTCAATAAACGAGCTTTGTTTCAACAACTAATTGTATTCAGACATCTGTTATTTGTGGGAACGCTGCTGCAAATTTTGTAATCAGTCATAAATATTGTTTATATATTTGCTGTCACGTTTTGAATCGGTTGTAATCTTGGCAGTGTTCTTTAGTATGTTTTAATTAAAATTTCCTCTCAAAAAGTTAAACATTAAGATATTTTAGGCACAATAATCCTAATGTTTGCCTGGAACAAGGAGGGAAAAAAATGAATAAAAGATTTGGATCATAAAGACGCTGTGATTTATTTCGCCACCTCTTCATTCTGTAAAAATGTTCTATTTTTATCTGAGAGTTTTTAAATTCAACAGCTACACAGAGGGGCTGGTCGAGGACTGCAGCACCTGTCGTGTCGCTCCGGTCTGAATAAATGAGTGATCAGAAGGAGCTGCTGGATGTTGATTAGTTAGTAGATCTGGGATCCGTGTGTTCTGGCTGAGCTGCTGCTTCCCAGGAAGCAGCTGTTTATTTTCGGCAGCTGACATTAGAGCTCACCCTTCACAACACGGCACCAGAGATCCCAGAACCGGAGTCTGACTGGACCTGATCGTTGGTGATTTTTACACTTTGTGAGCATAAAAGCATTTTAATGATGGAGTTTGTGTAGAACAGGAGCTACGACGACAACGGTGAGTCAGCAGGTTTATTCACTTCCTGTTTGTTGTTTTAATAAGAGCCAGAAAAGGTTTGCAGGTAACGAAGGAAGAGAAATATATTCACATTACTGCTAATATGAGACAAAATAAACTTTTTTTCAGGCTTTTTAGAACCGAGTAGATTCTTTACAAGCGCTCAGTTTAAATAAAGGGCAGTGATCAAATCTTGTTTCTCAGGACATTTGATCACCTTTAATTGAAAATTAATACACAGTGCTGGTGAGAAACAATCTGATAAATACTGTACTTCCATAAAGATGCAGATAATTTATCAGTAATGGTGTCTCCAGACTTGTCATTGCTCGCATGGCTCAAGTTTCCATTTATTCCCACTTCACTGATTTCATATTTTTATTTTTAGACATTTTAGTCTGATATAAACATTTCTTCAGTGTTGTAACTATGGTAGCAATTGATTTGCTCAGACATGATTTGAGTCGTGTTTTCTTTCCTGCAGCGTGTTGTGAACTGTTGGAAGAAACCAGTTGTGAATCTTTAGTGGGGAGCCAGCATCATGACCAAAGAGGAGGAGATCCCAGACTGGGTGGGAGCGAAGGAGTTCTATGACAAATATGAGCCCAAGGAGATTCTGGGCAGGTAGGTTTATATAACAGCATAAAAAAAATCCCAACCTGAAGCAAACTGTGTTGAGGTAAATGCTAACGTGGACGTGATCGGTTTTATTTCTTATGATTCTGTAAGCCATGTGTGCATCTTGTGTTAAATGTTGCACACACACTTTATTTTGCCTGTGAAAGTTGGCAAAGGATAAAAGTTATAAAGCAAATGACATATAATCTGAACTCTTAGCCTCATTTGTAAATATATCTTCATACACCAAAGTTAGTCATGGAGTTCCACAGGGTTCAGTGTTTGGACCAATACTCTTTACCTTATATATGCTTCCATTAGGGAAAGTTATTAAACAGCATGGGATGAATTTTTATTGTTGTGCTGATGATACAGTTACATTTGTCCATGAAACCTAATTAACATTAAAAGAACATGTGATTCTCGACCTGCCATTGTGTATCTGTTCCTCCTTCCTGTTCCTCTCAAACCCAGCCAGTCGAAACAGATGGCCGCTTGTCCTGGTTCTGCTAAAGGTTTCTTCCTCGCGAGGGAGTTTTTCCTTTCCACTGTCGCCTTCATGCTTGCTCAAGATGAGTCTGCGATGAAGTTGAACTCGAAGCAGTCTGCTCCTCAGATAAATAATAAATAATAATAACTTTATGTATATGAATGTTTCTGTTCAGTGCCCTGAGGTGGCTTCTGTAGTGACTTGGCACTATATAAATAAACTGAATTGAATTTACTGAGTTTCTAATATTATTTAGCATGACTGCATAAAAATGCAGCTCATTTTCTATTGTAGTTTGATCGACTACCTCCAAAGAGGGTTTTCCACAAGTGTGCGAGGTCAGAGCCGGTTCACTGTCATTGCCAACCAGCTGTCACACAGAGGTGTTATGTAAGACTCAATGTGCCGGAAGCAACATTTATTACCTTCAGAGTGTCGTGTATAAAAGGTTTAGGGTTGAGAGGAGCGCAGGAATGCAGCGGTGCTGATTCTTTATGTAATGTCACATGCAGGTTATCGGGTTGCTGAAAGAACATTGTGTTCTTGGAAAGTATGTTTTGCTCGCCTCGGATCAACTACCAATTAAGTTTTGGCGAGGTAGTTTGGGTAATCTGAAATAATCTTCACGTAATCATAAAACCCACTAGGTAATTTGAGGTCAATTATTTAACCAATTACCTGTAAAATGACAATAAACCAGACTTAAGGGATAGTTTGTTTTGAAGAGGGATTTCATGGAAATGTGATGAACCGTAAATATCTTACCCGTTGTAGATGACTCTTTGAACTACATAAAATGGGATAAATTGTTTAATTCTGACTTGATTAACAAGCTAACAGCTAGCCCAATGTAGGCAAAGATCAAAGTGGACGGCTAACATAATGTCATTGGGGGGGGGGGGGGGGGGCCCAAGAAATAGGTTCCAGGTGGAGGCTGACATTTTTCAGGAATCCCACAGGTCACGTGATTCCCTCGGGATATGAGTCAATTTTAATATTACTCCGTGATTGGGACAGTACAGGATAAAATGTTAACAGGAGCAGATACGAGCAGAAACCAACCAATAGGACAAAATACAAAAACAAAACAAAAAAAACTTTGGACAGGCACCACCATTTTGTAGTTTTCTTTCAATAAGCCTATACTGTAACACAAGTCAAAACAACTACAAGAAGCCAACAGTGCTTCTGGTTGCTGCTTTCTGCTGAAATTCAAAGAACATCAATGGAGGGAGCAAACACTAGCTGAGAAACTGATGTGGTAAAAATAGATTTGCAACGTAAAGTCAGAAGTAACGATCACAGCTGTGAGCTGTGTGAACTAAGCTCACAGAACTGGCAGGAAAGTCACAAATGATCCTGAACTTCACAAGAGTTGAGTGCGACGTGTTAACACGCTGTATGCTGCCTGTAAAACGTGTTTAGTTTTAGTCAAGTACAGCGAGTCAGGGACGAGTGGTCTGAAGAGGCACTTTTTCCAAAACTCAGGTATGTGAAGGTAAAGACTCTGTGCATTTTTGTTTGTTGAGGACAGTTCTCTTGCTTGGTGCATTATTATTATGATTATTATTTGTTTGTTTGTTTAAGCAATACAAAATATAAAAGCATTGTTAATGTTTAAAAGAAACAATTGCTCAATAAATTGGTAAAATGCAATATGTTTTGTTTGGGTTCATTCAACTAAGCTACACATGGTGTGACCCATGTTCTGTTAGTTTTGACTGTAACTGACCTCCAGCAGAGCTAGAAACGGGGATCAGCAGCTGATCCACTGTAGAAAAATTATAGGGGCCACAGGCCATGTATTATTTAAGTTTTGTGCCCTTTAGTGAAGGTTGTTTTGTTTGAAGAAGTCCTTCAGATGAAGGACGAAACGTCTCAACAACAAAAGAAACCGTCCAGATGACCTGACTGAACTGTGTTGGATTTATATCTGGATTAATGAGCATGAACTTGATGTTTTTTGTTTGGATTAAGGCAATAAATGCCTCCCTATTTCACCACGGATGAACTGTTGTGGTTGCCATATCTTTTGAAATATATAAAAAGGAATGGGTAGAAGATCAAATCAAATTCAATGCATTTCCTGAAGACTAAATGAAAAATAAAACAATGAGAGTGGTCCAGGAGTGGGAGTCGTTTAAACCAGGATTGGGATGGGACAAGAAATTTTTTTCCTGTGGTGGGACGGGACAGGAGTGAAAATCCACTCCCGTGCCACCCTTTAGTTCCAGATGATCCTTACCTCAACTGGCTCCTCTCCATGTGGAGACAGCAGGTGTACTCCGAGTCTCTCCTGGATAACTGAACTTCTGACCGTGTCACTAAGAGAGACCCTGAGGAGAAAACTTTTGACAGATCTGAAGGCTGATTAGTTTTTATTTTTCCCTCAGAGGTGTGAGCAGCGTGGTGCGCCGCTGCGTCAACAAACGAACCTCCCAGGAATACGCTGTGAAGGTCATCGACATCACGCCCTCTGACAAGATGACTTCCCGGGAGATCGAGGAGATCAGAGAGGCCACGGTGAAGGAGATCGACATCCTGAAGAAAGTCTGCGGACAGGAAAACATCAGTAAGATATTTTGTCCCATAACCAGGACTGTTTGTTTGGACTTTGTCAACAACTCTTAACTGGGTGAACTTTCATCTCCAGTACAGCTCAAAGACTGCTACGAGACCAACGCCTTCTTCTTCTTGGTTTTCGATCTGTAAGTTCTTCATGTCACTGCACCTTTATGTGCTCAAACAAACCTGGACTCATCAGAAATGACACTTTCTGTCCTCCAGGATGAGGAAGGGAGAACTTTTTGACTACCTCACAGAGAAAGTTACGCTAACTGAGAAGGAGACCAGGTGAGTGAGCTGCTTCGCCCAACGTGAACAATCACAGCAATGTTCTGAAAAGGCTTTTAAGGCTCAGTGTCGTGTTTTGTAGAAAGATCATGCGTGCTTTGTTGGAGGTGGTCCAGTTTCTTCACTCCCAGAACATCGTCCACCGGGACCTGAAGCCTGAAAACATCCTTTTAGATGACAACATGAACATCAAACTCACAGACTTTGGGTTTGCTGTGCAAATACAGCCAGACCAGAGACTTAAAGGTGAGAGAACATGGACCATTCTGTGGAGATTGTTCATCTTCAGAACATTTCTTTTAGTCACTTGTCTTCCATTTCTGTTTGAACAACTTGTTAAAGTAAAGATGTTAAAATCTGACCCCCCCACTACTATTATATCAGACAATCCCTGGAAGTTCACTCGATGACATCTAAGTGCTCTCCACTTGTACTATCTTTGACGCCTACAGTGAGCTCGTCAGAACACCAACTGTTTGGTGGTCGGTGGAGAATCTGGATCTGGTTGCAAAACATGCTCCCTGTGCTATGAAGAGCACAGGACGCCCCGGTCTATTTGCTGCAGTCACAGACGTTCGCAGCGAACTGACCTTTTTAAATAGACTTCTCAGAAGGCTTAAGATCATTAGCAGTAGAAGCTGGCAAATCAAGTTTCTGATGGGCTGAGCCTCAGCTGAGAGGTCTTCAGTGAGTGTGGACGTCTGCAATCCATCTGAAGCACATCGTCACTTTTTAGTACATTTCATAAATGATTAAAACTGAGGATGTAGCTCCTTTGAGAATCAAAGTGTGACATTAGCATATTTCATACGACAGTTTTATAACTTTGTCTAGATTTTTCACATAACGGTACACCAGCCTCTAACATCTACTGAACGCTGCACCCCTCTCCTCCAAACTCTATTTCTACTGTTCCAAGATTTTTGAAAAATTTCCTGCGTGTAGCTCATTTCCACAGGGGTGCTCTGAGCTGCTGGTTGGTGCAAAAGCACAAAACAAAGTTAAAGCCTATCCCCCCCCACACCTGAAGCAACCCGCTCATCCAGTGGTGTAGTCTACATTTTTGCAGTGGGTATACTGTGCTTAGAAACCAAAGTACACAAGTTAGTACAATATAATCGTCAATTGATTTTGATTTTTAAACATATTGAACATTTCCAAATTTCTCTCATGCTTATATTTGAATAAACGTGCAACAAACTTTCTACAATAGTTGGCTTTGTATTAAAAACGTTATAGAATTTATAAAACGGTATCAAAGCAAAACATGTTCAAGTATTAAGTAGTAAGTACAGAATTATACAATAATTTACTGGATAAGCGACTATAATAAACAAGCGCTGCATACATAGATTGTTACAGAAGCTTTTAACTGCTGTTTAACGTATCAGTGACACGTGCCTAATGATATGTCATGTATCATTGGGCACTTTTAGTACTGATATTCTTCAGCTTTTCTAGTGGATATACTCGGTATACACGCATATCATGAAGACTACACCACTGCTCTCATCTACCGGGGGAAACTCAAAAGTCCAAAGCACAGGCACCAAACCTGGGGGTGGTATCAGTTGGCCCACATCAGCTTGGCACCTCTCACCATGAGCAACTCCAGAGTAGGTCAGGCCCCTCTCAGGGACGTTGGTTCCAGAACTTATAATCGTGTTCTGAGATGAACCCCCTCAACCCTAACGCACAAGCGCAGGCTCTTTCCCCACCAGAGGTGACATCAGGTCCCAAAAATTAGTTTTGGTAAGCCAGGGTCAGAGCACCAAGGCGCCTGTTTTTACCTGCTACCCTTGGCTCCATGCATCAACTCAAATGGCCCCTCCTGCAGGTGATGGGCCTGACTGGACCATTGGTAGAGGCCTCCAGGCGCTCATGAGATGAGCCTTTCCCCCGGGCCTGGCTCCAGAGTGAGGCCCTGATAACCCACATCTAGAGGGACATCAAGCTCCTTGTTGTCCTCTGACCATGAGGAGCACTTTTTGTCTTGGCCTGCCACTTAGGACCAGTCTGCCTTGGAAGACCCCACCAGGGGCCATCGACCTCAACAGTACATCTTTTAGAAACATTCAGGCACATAAACTCCTCCATGATAAGGAGGCAATTCACAGAGAAGTCACTTTCAAACTTCTTCAGGCTTTGCTCCACGTTTGTTTTTCTGGTATGAAGAAAAACTCCAATATCAGGAAACAATTTCTGGTCTGATTTTAACGTCAGCAGTTAAGTTCAGGAGTTTCAGCCTTTTTTGTTGTACTTCTACAGCTCCTAATATTCAATAGGTTTGTTTTGGAGTGTGTCATGCGGTTTGGACACAATTAAAATGGAACAAGAGCAGCAAGAAATAAATGAAATTGTTTTGATGTTTGTAACACAGATGTGTGTGGGACTCCTGGTTACCTTGCTCCTGAGATCATCGAGTGCTCCATGGATGCAGGACACAAAGGATACGGCACAGCTGTTGACATGTGAGTGTCCACAAACACCAGATTCAGTCTTAGCCACGATAGGACCAGTGTAATGTGGTCAAATCTACATTTAACTCACTACAATATGATTTAAAAAAATTGCTGTTCACTTTTATTAAACATGTCAGCTGTCCTGAATGTTTGCAGATGGAGTGCAGGAGTCATCATGTATACGCTGCTCGCAGGCTCTCCGCCCTTCTGGCACAGAAAACAGATGCTGATGCTGCGGATGATCCTAGCAGGGAAATACGACTTCTCGTCTCCAGAGTGGGAGGACAGCTCGGACACGGCCAAAGATCTGGTGCGCTTAGTTTATTCCCAACCTTCATCCCTGATGTAATAAAGCAGGTCATACAAATAAGGCTGAATTATTTTACATAAAGCATCGTTTGTCCAGATCTCCCGGATGCTGGTGGTGGATCCAGTACAGCGGGTCACAGCGACAGAGGCTCTCAGTCACTCGTTCTTCTCGCAGTATGTGGTGAACGAAGTGCGGCAGTTCAGTCCTTACAGGAAGTTCAAGGTGACACGAGACTTTAGAAAGTCTATTCTTGCTTGAAACAGTTCTAATTTTTTTTTAATTGTCTCATGCAGATTAAATAATCATGTTTACTTTCAGGTCATCTGTATAACTGTTCTCGCCACGATGAGAATCTACTGCAGCTACAGGAGGGCCAAGCCCGTTACCAAGGAGGTGATCAAGAGTGACCCATACGCCGTCAAACCCATCCGTAAACTGATCGACGCCTGCGCCTTCAGGATCTACGGCCACTGGGTCAAGAAGGGTCAAACTCAGAACAGAGCAGCACTTTTTGAGAACTCTCCAAAGGCCATCCTGCTGTCACTAGCTGCCGAAGCAGAGGAGCAGGACCAACCCAGCTTATAACACACCTGAAGGACTGGGATTTGCATCTACTTGACCCCCCCCCCCTTTAAAGGACGAACTGGTAAATTAAAGCAAGAACGGATTTTTCTCAGAAACTGCAGTTCAACACCACTGAGGTGTCTCGTTGCTGATTTTCTGTTCTAAGCTGCTTCTTTTAAAGCGATTGTAGACTTCATCAGTTTTTCATCACTACGCTGCACATCTCAAGTCACCTGCTTTCAAGGCTTCCTCTAAATACAACCCCCCCGAAGTTTAACTTAAAGCAAACATTAAAATCTGTTGGAAGAGGGATTCGTGGAAACCGTATGAACAGTCCACATCTTACATGTTGATGAACCTGTTTGAAGAATGGTACAAACTGCTAGCATAACGGTTCATACAAATGCTGTTTATTAATATTTAGTTTTGAATCATATGCACCACCTGGTGGTGGATGGGTTAAATGCAGAGACTAATTTCGCCATTGTATGGAAACATACAGTGCTGACATTGTGATGACATTATTATTATATGCATATTGGGGCAGCAGAGTTGGTCAGAGCTGTCGCTTCCTAAACTTAAGTGTTCAGTTTACGTTCTGAATGTGACCCGGAAATGAAAAGTGGGTAAAGACAATGAATAAATGGATAACATGTAATTTATATAGAATTCTAGTTATTTGCAAAAACAAATAGAAGCAGCTACCAGTGGTTCAAGTGCAGCCTGAAGGAGGATCATCAAAACATTTCTGCAGAATAAAAAAGTTAAGACCTGAAAATTTTTAAAAAAAAAAGACTAGAATTTATTTTAAACTCAACCCACTTTGGCCCCGGCCCACTCAAACTAGTTGTTAGCTTGTCGGAATCAAACTCCATTTCTGGGAAACGAAGTCTCTTAAAGAGCCATCTACAGCAGGTAAGATATTGTTCACAACCTTTCTACAGAATCCCACTTCAAAAGATCTGAATGTTCACTTTTGGGTTAAAATGTAAATTTTATTGTTGGAATTATATTTTTATTAAAAATGCTTCAGTTTTTAAATGTTGGCTGTGAACGTGCATGCTTAAAATGGCACCGTCTTACAGATGCATACATGCAAGATGTAAAACACTACATATACAGCGCCTGCGCACTTCTATCTGACCAGGATACTCAGAACACTTTACAACACAATATGTGCCTTTATTGACGTCCAGACAGCACATCTACATCTCTACAAATCTGAGTTAATCATTCTACTAGAGAACAGTTAGTGCTTTATCATCACAACATGTGACTGTGGTGGAATTGAACCCTCGACTGCTCTAACCACTCATCCACAGCCACACGTTTATATATTATATGCTTTGAATATATTTATCAAACTTTAAATTCCTTCCTAAGACTTAACATAAATCATTTTGCTTTTAGCATTTCCAACTTTTACACATCTCTCACTGTCAGCTTCAAACCACAAAGAAATTCAAAACAAGCAATTTCAGCACAAATGCAAATTTATTGAACTAGTGGAAAACAACATCACAAACCATTGAGTACTAGGAGTCCATAAAATCTGAGCTTGTTTTAATTCTGCTGAAAGAGACACGAAGTTCATGGCGTTGCATAAAATGATTTTGCTATTACAAGAAAGTTGTTTGTGTGTGTGTGTGTGTGTGGTGGGGGACTGGTGTAAGTCTGACCGTTTAAAACTACGACTAAGCTATGCCTGAAAAATTCTATAAGAAAAAACATTTTAATAAAAGAAAAACAAGTTACCACAGCCGAACAGGATGAATGAATCCAAGGGTCCCATTTTTACAAATGAAAGTTAGACGCCCTAAAGATTTTAAGAAAGAAGGAAAAATAATTACAAAACCATCAAGAATATCAAAGTGTATCACTGTACGCATTCCTGCGGAGATGGACGAAGCTGAAGAAAAGCACCCGCCCAGTCATTTTGCAGAAATGAGTAGAGGCTGTTGCATGGTGTCTGACTGGATCCAGCACGGAGCAGCTGGAACAGAATTCAGCCATGGCCCGGGTTCACTTCTTCAGTGCTCAAAATACTTATGTAGTACGTTATTGTGTTAACAGAGGGAGTACGAACATACCATCCTGAGGAGAACCGTTTCTCACAGGTTAGTTACAGCAACCTCTGAGTCTGGATTAGTCCATAAAAACATGCTGAACAACTCTACAAAAACAAGCAAAACAAAGAATGAGGAGGAAAAAAGGACCCCGACATGGCGACAATACATTTAAAATAACACCAGCACACGCTGAGGTTTGTTACTGTATTCACACTGAACTAACAGAGAGGCGCAAATTAAACCCCTCTGATCTTACTGAGTCAGTGTGTGAATGTATTCATTTAGCATGGTGTCTGACTGTATTTACTACGTCAAAAAGTAACACAGAATTCAGCCATGCACTCACAAACATGCAACAAATACCACAGGCGTGTCATCAGCTGATATTTATAATCATTTGATGTAATTTCCTTAAATGTCGGAGATACCGTCTTGACAAAGTTCAACCAGAACATTGTGCATCTTTGGAGATCAATCAAGCAAAACAATAAAAACGGAGTAAATACCAAACTGAGCTCAGACTAGCATACGGCACACCGTTAACAGGCGGTTTAATACTCACTCATCAGGTTTTACTGTTCCCATTGTTCAGGCACAATTATACTGCCTTTTAAGCACTGAACCAGACAGCCAGGCAGTTCTTTATACACATGTGTTGCTGCTACTTGAAGGCAATGTCAGGAAAACGTAAAACAATGTGTGTGGGTTTTCTTTAGCTTGTGTTGATGCTCTGGTTGGTCTGCTAAGAAAAAGATGCGTTGCAGTGGTGGTGGAAGAAAACTAGAAGATGTGAACATTTAAGGTCCAAATTAATTAACTTTTCTCTTAACTTGTTTTGTTCTTTTAATTTTCAAAAATGTCTTTTAAATTATTTTTTTGAACAAAGCCTTGTGTTGCAACTTACACGAACATGTGGTTCCAGTGGATGACGGTGCTAATAGGAAATATAAAATTATTAAATATACTTTTTATAGTAACCTACTTTCCCACAGAGTGTGAACACGTCAGATTCTAACCTGATGGGCTTTTTGTTTTCTTCCTCCAGAATCTTCTGAGTTTATTGCAATTTTACACAATGTTTATGCTCCAAGAAAACATGTGCTTTCTTCATTCTTATTTCATTTAACAATATCTTTAATAAAACAGGCATTAATAGCTGCTTCAGTGATGTAATGCTGCTTGACTTAAGAGTAAAATCTGACACTTTCATGTTTTATGTGCATTAAATCATTAAAATATACCTACCTCTGCATGCTTTCAGTTTTTCTGCTCCTGACTGAAGCAAGGCCACATTTTCTCCACCGTCTTCCTGGATAAAACATTACTGGAAAAAGACAGCACACAATTGTTATTACGTCTACTTTACAGTCACACGTTGCGTTACAGAATAAATACTAAAATAACAAAGTCTTTGTGAAAGCTAAATGTATTGTTCCACGAGCACCGCGTGCTTCAGTACACCTGAACAGGAAGAGAATCCAACATTTGAGGTCTAAAAATAGAAAAGGCTTACCTGGGTTGAGCTGTATATTGCATTTTTACAGATCATATTTTAAACAACGTTTAGTTCAAAAAGAATAATAATAAATTTTACATTGTGTGCTTAAAAGCTTTACGCTACACGCCTAAAGCTAAACGTGGCAGCTTAGCTTCAGCATCTTTCTTCCTCTTCCTGACTCTGAGCCTCGGCGGGAGGCGGTGTTCAGCAGCTTGAAGCTCTTCTGCGCCCCCGCAGGACTGGAGGAGGAACTGCAACACAAAAAACACCCGGAACAACCACCAGCCGTGAAAAGTTTTCTGACAGGACTTTTGTGTGCTTTTTAAACACACGTTCAATTTTGAGGGGAGTGAGGGAAATTATAATTGTGTAATTTTATATTTAAAAAATACAAAAAAAATGTGTGGAATCTCAATCATTCATGACAAGACAAAGAAAAACTAACAAAGAAAAAACAATTGACTTCTATTCCTTACTTGGAGACATTTTGCTTACCATTGCGGGGAGCTTTCTCAATTCAAAACTGGAAAGGGAGCACAAAGTTTTAGGCCCTGTTCACACCACGCCATTTTCAAGTCAAACTGGAACATTTCTGTCTTTCAATCCTTTATGTGCATAACAATCGCTGTTGTTTTCTCTGACACCAAAGGTTTTTGAATTCAGTGGAAATCATTAGAAACTCCTGGCATTGTTTCAAGGGAAACAACAACTTACGTGGAATCACACAAGCCGTCAATAGTTTTACTGTGCTTGTGGGAGTAAATAAACAACAGTCTGTTTGAGCTGCTCACCCTTTTCAAAGTGTTGGAGCAACCCAGCCTTTTGCTTTCGTACCATTTTTGATATAATCGCTTTGAGACTGAAGTGTCTGTGTGCAAGGGTGTGTCTTGAACAATAAAAATCAGAGTGCCTGCTGTCACCTTACAGAAGCAGGCCTACAGCAAATTCATCAAGCATGGCTTTACAGTAAAAACTTTTCACTAACATCAGAAAATCTCTAGAGGTCTTTCGCATGTAAACAGGGCCTTAAACTGCATGAGATTCACATGCAGATTAACGCATTCCCTCCCACCAGAGTCATTAGGGTCTTTATTTGCTTGGCTCACAGGAGAGATGATTTGGCTACATGTACAAGACGACTGGCTTAATGGTTTATTGTAAGCTTTGGATTGTGAGTGACAGCAGACTTTAATGATTTTAGGTCTGTTGTTTTAACTGTTGTGTTATACTTTTTATCAATTCGTGAGTTTTAGTATTTTTATCTTGTTTTTATTTTGAATACTTCTGTGTTGCTGTTTCATACCATTTTCCATCTACATGGGGCTTTCGTTTTTGCATCTAATCTCTACTTTTCAGGGCAGCGCGGTGGTACAGTTGGTAGAGCTGCTGCCTCTCAGCGAGCAGGTTCAAATCCTAGTCTGGGCTTCTTTCTGGGTGAAGTTTGCATGTTCTCTCTGTGCATGCGTGGGTTTTCTCTGGGTACTCCGGTCTTCTCCCACAGACCAAAAACATGCATGTTAGGCTGATTGGTGACTTAGGGTTAGTGAATGGTTGTTTGTCGCATTTGTCTCTGTGTCCCTGTGATGGACTTGCGACCTGTCCAGGGTGTCCCCTGCCTCGCACACAGTGACTGCTGGATATGGGTACCAGTGACCCCCGTGACCCAAAAAGGAAGAAGCGTGTAAATATAATGGATGGATGAATGGATTATTGAATCCTCCCAGAAGAACTGGAAGAGGTGGCCATGGAAAGAGATGTCTGAGCCTACCTGCTCAAGCTACTGCCCCCGCGACCCGACTTTGGAATAAGTGGATGATAATGGATGGATGGATGAATGGATTAGTTACTTTTCAGTTTTTTAAAAGTTTTTTTGTTTGTTTTTAAATTTGTTGTCATATTTCGTTTTTATTTCACTTTTACATATTCTAATTTTGTAGTGTTTGAACAGTTTAAAATACTGTACCAAAGAAGGCAGATAAATCTACTGTACAAGATAAACGTAGATTAATCCTCAATCAGCCAAATCAGCAAAAATATTGTAAATGCGTAATAAATAATGAAACCTAATTATTAGGATTGGAAGTGCTAAAGCTCTGCGTTGGAGCCGAAAGAGTCGGCTCTTTTTGGTAAAATGAGTCAAAAGAGCCGACTCCCGGAGCGGTGCCTGAATTCCCATCACTACAGGGAACGGAGCCAAAAACCCGAGTCAACCGTCGGTGGGCGGGGCTTTTGTCGGCTTCGCTCTGATTGGTCCGCTGCTCTGCTCCTTTTTTTTCCTCATCGATGAACTGAGTCGGCTCATGTAACTGCTGCTTGTGCCTTATCAACGCTCCTTTCACCGTAAGTACAATTATATATATTTATATCTATATATCTATACATGCCTTTTAAATATCTCGAACACTTCATTCGAGAACACGACGTTGGTATTGCTACGTTGAACAGCTGAAAAAGCAGTCAAATGAACCAAAGACAAGTTCACCGTCGCCGGGTTTTTCCATCGAAACGGAGAGGCTTATTATCTGCGTCTGCTCATTTTACAGCTCCGACTTTTTGTCAGACATTATGAGAAAACGCTGGGCAGTGTTATAGTCCTCAGGGTCTTCCTGTGGTCCTCGGTATTGTCCTTGATACTTCTGGGTGACGCAACACGGATGTAGGATGTCCATCCGTCCATCCCCGGCTGGATCATTGAGACCCACTGATTTATGTAACGCGTTCCTCTCTCCTACCATCGCCTGGAGCACAGTTTCATGACTTTAGCTCGATTCAGAACATTCTGTGCATTGCTTTGTGTTTTGTGCAGAAAAAGACTTCTCCACTGGCACAGCTCTCACAGCAAAGGGCCACCTCAGGCCATGACATGTAACCCTGCTGCAGGTCTCATGCTGGACCTTGTGTTTCCTTTCAGCACCATGACCTCCCTCTCTCAGACGAAAGAGCTCTTCAGGAGAGCGGACGCCGTCTGCTTCGATGTGGACAGCACGGTCATCAAAGAAGAGGGCATCGACGAGCTCGCCAAGTTCTGCGGCGTGGGGGATGCTGTCAGAGAGATGTATGCGTGAGCTGCGTTTCACGACCTGTCTGTGTTTGTCTCGGGCGTAGAGCCTCACACTGCGTCGCTTTCACCTTTCAGGACCCGCAAGGCCATGGGGGGCTCGATGACCTTCAAGAAGGCCCTCACAGAGCGTCTCTCCATCATCCGATGCTCCAGAGAACAAGTAAACAAACTCATAACGGACCACCCGCCTCAGCTGACTCCAGGCATCAAGTGAGTGTGTGAGAGTTTGATAATGTAAATCAATTCAACACACTCTGTTCTGCACTTTGTGCAGAGGAAAAAACTAAGAAAATCCTCTTTCTGTCTCAAAAAATGATGAACAAGCTAATGTTTTGTGGATATGTTGTTTTTATCTGTAGTGTTATCATTTATTTGCCCAGTTTTGCCTTCCTGATTATGTTGCCTGCTGATCATACATCAGAGCCTTAAAGTTACAATTTGTGAACTAATAAATATGTAATAAGCCATTGACCAAAGATAAATAGTTTTGTCTGGACTCACAAAACAAGAGGAGATAATAGGTCAAGAAGTTTTTGTCTTTTTTTTTTTTTGCACGTTTTCTGAACCCACTGATAAAATATGGTTTGTTCATATTACACAGGAAAAAAGCAAGTGTCCTAAAAAAAAGTTAATATTTTAGAACAGCTTGTTTGCTTCTGGCTCAGATTCTTTACTGTCAATCTGAACACAGAAATGCTGTTGGTTGTTGATCTTTTTTTTTTCCTCGCAGAGTTTTTAATAATTTTACTTATTTGTTTGAAATTGCGTGGCGGGTCAGGTTAAAGGGTTCTCAGGCCAGAGGTTCCCTTGTTTTATTTCAACCAGTTAACGTGAACAAACAGAGGAAGAACCTAAATGAAATCTGTATTTAGTGCGGCCGTGTTTCAGCTTTAAAGCAGCATCAGTTCTTGCAGGAACTCCGGTTGTTCTAAACGTCTTGGAGGACCACAGGTCTTCTGTGGATGGAGACTGGCTCAGATCTTTTTGGTTCTTCTTGTAATCTCGGACAAGCTCAGAGATGCTGAGATCAGAGCTCTGTGTGGGTCAAACCATCGTTTTCTGGACTGTTTGCTTTTCTTTGCACTGAGTCCTAGTTCTGACTGTCTGTATGTTTGGGATTGCTGTCCTGCTGCAGAGTAAATTAGGAGTCAGTCAGATACTTGTGATGGTTCCTGCTTGTATCTTTTCAGCACAGAGGACACCAATAATTCGGACTAAATCACCACCATGCTTCATCGTAGTCTGTAAACACAAGCCCTTCAGCAAATAATCCACTTCCACCACAGATAAATATTTACATTTTTTTAAAGCCCAAAACTCCTGCTGACTTGTTGACAACAAAACCAAGCTGAGTTGCTTGACCTTGTTTCCAAATCCAAAAGTTTACTCAAGTTAAAGTGCTGAAGTACTTACTTTGGAAAATACTCAAGTATTAAAAAGTACAAATTACATTTTCTAATATCAGTACATTGCTGTATTGTTTTGAGTGATTTTACAGAACCTTGTAACTCTCTGAAACCACCTGATGATGTATTGACATGTAGAACCACTCAAACACCACATGCATTAATAAAACCTGTAAACTACAAATATCTTCCTGCATTTTACATGTTTGTGGAAAGTCATGGGAATCCTAACAGATGATGCACATTTAGTCTTTTCTTCAACTTTAATATTCATACACTGCATTGTTTGTGTGTAAAACTGCATATGTTGACAGCAACAACTTGACACAGGAGAGGAAACGGTAACACTGATAACTGAAAGTACTGCCATACTTAACATAGAAGATTACAAAACAATGAATGTTCTGCACAGATGAATCTAGTATAATACCTGAATCAACAACTGGACAACTGCATTCAAGGAAAGAAAAACAGCAACAGTGGATTACAAAGCTGAGCCAAAAGGAACAAGAAGCTTCATAGAAATGTAGTGGAGTTAAAAGTACATTATCCATCCATCCATCCATCCATTTTCTTGCGCTTATCGGGGATCGGGTCGCGGGGGTAGCAGCCTAAGTAGGGAGGCCCAGACTTCCCTCTCCTTAGCCACTTTGTCCAGCTCCTCTGGGGGAATCCCGAGGCGTTCCCAAGCCAGCCGAGAAACATAGTCCCTCCAGCGTGTCCTGGGTCTTCCTCTGGTCCTCCTCCCGGTGGGACGTGTCCGGAACACCTCACCAGGGAGGCGTCCAGAAGGCATCCTAAACAGATGCCCGAGCCACCTCAACTGGCTCCTCTTGACATGGAGAAGCAGCGGCTCTACTCTGAGTCCCTCCCGGATGATCGAACTTCTCACCCTATCTCTAAGGGAGAGCCCAGACACCCTGTGGAGAAAACTTGTTTCAGTCGCTTGTATCTGAGATCTCGTTCTTTCGGTCACAACCCAAAGCTTATGACCACAGATGAGGGTGGGAACGTAGATCGATCGGTAAATTGAGAGCTTCGCCTTTTGACTCAGCTCTCTCTTCACCACGACAGACTTGTACAGTGCCTGCTTCACTGCAGACGCAGTGCAGATGCAGACTGCACCTATCCGCCTATCAATCTCACGCTCCATTTTTCCCTCATTCGTGAACAAGACCCCAAGATACTTGAACTCCTCCACTTGGGGTAGGACCTCCTCCCTGACCCGGAGAGGGCACTCTACCCTTTTCTGGCTCAAGACCATGGCCTCGGATTTGGAGGAACTGATCTTCATCCCGGCTGCGTCGCACTCGGCTGCGAACCGCTCCAGCGAAAACTGTAGATCATGATCTGATGAAGCCAATAGGACCACATAATCTGCAAAAAGCAGAGACGCAATCCTAAGGCTACCAAAACGGACCCCCTCAACACCTTGGCTGCACCTAGAAATTCTGTCCATAAAAGTTATGAACAGAATCGGTGACAAAGGGCAACCTTGGCGGAGTCCAACTCTCACTGGGAACGAGTCCGACTTACTGCCGGCAATGCGAACCAGGCTCTGACACCGGTCATACAGGGACCTAACAGCCCGTATCAAAGGGCCCGGTACCCCATACTCCCAGAGTATCCCCCACAGGGTTCCCCGAGGGACGTGGTTGAACGCCTTCTCCAAGTCCACAAAGCACATGTAGACTGGTTGGGCAAACTCCCACGCACCCTCCAGGACCCTGCTGAGGGTGTAGAGCTGGTCCAGTGTTCCATGACCAGGACGAAAACCGCACTGCTCCTCCTGAATCCGAGGTTCGACTATCCAATGGACCCTCCTCTCCAGAACCCCCAAATAGATCTTACCAGGGAGGCTTAAGAGCGTGATCCCCCTGTAGTTGGAACACACTCTACGGTCCCCCTTTTTGAATAGGGGGACCACCACCCCGGTCTGCCAATCCAGGGGAACTATCCCCTTATGTCCACGCAATATTGAAGAGTCGCGTAAGCCAACACAACCCTACAACATCCAGAGCCTTAAGGAACTCTGGGCGGATCTCATCCACCCCTGGGCCCTGCTGCCGAGAAACTTTTTAACCACCTCGGTGACCTCAGCACCAGAGATTGGAGGGCCCGACCCAGAGTCCCCAGGCTCCGTTTCCTCAGTGGAAGACATGCCGGTGGGATTGAGGAGGTCTTCAAAGTAATCTGCCCACCGACCCACGACATCCTGGGTTGAGGTCAGCAGCACACCACTCCCACTATAAACAGTGTTGGTGGTGTACCACTTTCCCCCTGAGACGCCGGATGGTGGACCAGAATCGCCTCGAAGTCATTCTCCATGGCCTCTCCGAACTCCTCCCATGCCCGAGTTTTTGCCTCAGCGACCTCCTGAGCCGCATGTCGCTTGGACTACCGGTACCCATCAGCTGCTTCTGGGGTCCCACAGGCCAAAAAGGCCCGATAGGACCTTAAACATTATTTGTCTTTGAAATGTAGTGGAGTGAAAGTCATAAGTTCCCAAATACTCAGGTAAAGATACTCAGAAAATGTACTTTAGTACATTACTCAAGTAAATGTACTCTGTTACTGTCCACCACTGTGTAGGACTGATGCTGCTTTGAAGCCACACTAAACGCAGCTTTGATTTAGATTTTTCTCATTTGCTCACTTTGCATTTGGTTATTTACTGAAACCTGAATTTATATCTGTGAAAGCGTTCTTACATTACAGATTATTTCACTTGCATCAAGGTTTTGCTCAGTAAAACAATCTTGTTCATTTCAGGGAGCTTGTGGACCATCTGCATGAACGCAACATAGAAGTTTTCCTCATTTCAGGGGGCTTTCGCTGTATCGTTGAACACGTGGCCACTCAGCTGAACATTCCTTTGCATCACGTCTATGCCAACCGGCTCAAGTTCTACTTCAATGGTGAGCGGCAGCGTGTTCCATGCGTCTCTGTTCTCCTTATCGGAGCGGTCTGGGCTCATGCGTCTGCTTGATTCCAGGGGAGTACGCTGGCTTTGATGAAACGCAGCCTACAGCTGAGAGCGGTGGCAAAGGAAAAGTGATCAGCATGCTGAAGGAGCAATACGGCTTCAAGACTGTGGTGATGATCGGAGATGGAGCCACTGACCTGGAGGCCTGTCCTCCAGCTGTAAGTATTCATTTTAAACACAGCCCTTCACGGTTTAGCATCCCCTTTGTTGACAACGTGCCATCTCTCCCCCTCAGAGCGCTTTCATTGGGTTTGGCGGGAACGTCATCAGGTCTCAGGTCAAAGAGAGGACGTTGTGGTACGTGACGAGCTTCCAGGAGCTAATTAAGGAATTGGAGAAGATTTAAAGATGCAGGAAGGGCTCTGTTACAGATTTAGAATTTTATATTTGCACCCAAAGGTGTGCCACTGGTGGATTTATTAGCCATCGCACGCTTCTCTTTAGAGTCGAATAGATTTTTATAATGAAACTGTTTACACTAGTCTGAAATTGACCCTAACTGGGACGTTGCCATATTGACTTTTATAACATAAAACAGCTAAACACGATCTGTGTGGAAGATTTTAGTGTTATTCTTTTTGCACTTTTCACATCCAAACCTCATGATGTAGGTGTTATATCAAGGCATGTGCAATGAGCGACTTATTTCAGAAATGTGTTCTGTACTAAAGACTGTAATTAGTGCGGCGACTTCAGTCATTAAAGATGACAACATGCTCTAAAGGATGTCTGTATCACTTTATTTATTGTCCCTCTTTACCATCTTTGAACATTAGTGCCTGTTGAACAAATCTTAAAATAAAAACAGAAGTTAAACGTCGTTCCCTCGGTAACAAACCGTCCATTATTACAGTTTGACTGTCCACCTCGCAGCTTCACTAAACTGATTTTAACACCAGGCATGCTGTTACAGGATAAAGAACAAACACAGCACTGGGAAACTTTAAACATCACTTCAACAGGGAACGTAAAGAGGAGGAAACAAAGTGTTTGTGTAGAATACATTGCAAATATAAAATTATACCTGCTCTGTTAAATAAAATAAAAACTGCACTTCTATTCTGAAGCTGAAGAGGTTTCGCTTTATCAGCTCCAACATGTCTGGAGTTGTTAAAGCCTCCCGAAGTGAAACGTCTTCACCTTCAGAATAAAAGCCCAGTTTTAGTATATTAACCGTTTTTTGAATCGATCATGACCTGGACGACTGAGAATCTTGTCATCTCGAGTGGCAACATTTTTTGAACTATACAGACCATTTAAAAAAATCAGTGATGATACTCCTTAGCACATTTAAACACTACACACTCTAAATGTATAATAAATAAATAAATGCTATTACTATCGTTGTGTAATACACTGCAGCTTCTAATTGGAGTTCTTCTGTTCAAGTAACTTTGGTTTGTTGAAAGTTGAGCGATAAATTCTCACCTTGGGGCCAGTTATACTGTGGTGCTGCACACGACGACCATCACTGGGTTTAAACCGGGTCTAATTTACTTGTCCCGTTTCAGACCCTAAAAATAGAAAAGCTCGTGCGCCTCAGCAGCTACCTTTCAACATTTATTCTAATCGCAGATAAGGAGCGTTTATCGTCGCTCCTTTGTCCGAGGAGTGAAACAGTACAAGTAAAAAAAGGCGATGAAAGAAACAACAAAGAGGTGGGTGTTGTTTGGTAGCACTGACAGAAGGTTGGACCCACGATGGCGACTCTCGGGATGGATGCAACGTTCAGAAAAGGCTTGTTTCACTGCAGCGGGGAGGCCTTTGTTGGGATCATGATCCTCGAATCCATGCGCTGAATGAGCGGCACTGCAGAGAGAAGACAGGGAAGAGTCGAACACAGTCCTTTTTATTGTGTCAAACTTTAAAATGTTACACATATAAAACTGAAACAAGTCGATATCGGCTGAACTACAAAGAGATTTGCTCACCTGTGTAGTAAACCACCTCGTGCCAGCCCTCCTGGTGCCACACGGCGTTCCTGGTGTCTTCTCTGGACTGAAGGTCTTTGTAAGCTGCCAACAACAAACCAAAGCCCAAGTTTATCTCACTGCATTCAGTCTGCCCATTTACTGCAGCTCCCCTGCTTTTTGGCTCCATTCTGAAGAGTAAAATGTCTTAATATAGGAAGTGCTAATTAAAACCAGACCTTTTGAAACAGTTTTGTACAAATCTTCATTGTCCCTCTTGAATTTGCTCTTATTTCCTGTTAACATTGTGCAATAATGTGCATCACAGACTTCCCAAGTTTTAATTCTATTTTTTTATCTACAGTATTGCAGCCATGCTGCAAACACTAAGGCCGGAGGAACTGCGTTTTATTTCTATCACGTCAACAGGTTTACATGACTTGAATAATTAATATCTTACCTGTTGTAGTTTTATGAACTGCCTCAGTTTGGAGAAATAGAGTTAAATTCTGATCGAACAGTCAAACTGAGCCAGGGGTGGCGAACCAGTTCAGCATTAAGAGACAAATTAAGCCCCTCATAACCTTAAAGAGCCAAACAGCAATTTTGAGATTAGCTTCATAACATATTGCTCAAACTACTTTTTACTTAGTCCTTAGTTTTTTTTTCTTAGTCCTTTAGTGGGACACCTGACAGTCTTTATATTTTACGAGTGTCTTTAAGTTTGGCTTGTACTCTGTGTCTAAGAACAGAACCATGTTTAGACTTCACTTGCTTACGTGCAGAAAAAAACAGATTCGCAGACGTATGTTGATGCAAACACTGACATTAGTTTGAGTGCAGCCTGTTTTACACCGAGATATTTGTCTGTGGGCACACTTTTCCAAAACTCTGTGGTTCCTTCTCTTAAAACACATTTCAGTCTGTCATCCTCACAAAGTTCAATCATCTCCAACTGGGAGGCTGCTTCATCTACTGAACTGGGATCTTCATTAGCTGTCATTCATAATCATCAACATTAAAAGAAATAAACATTTGAAATATATCAGTCTGTGTGTAATGAATGAATATAATACACAAGTTTCACTTTTTGAATGGAATTACAGAAATAAATCCAACTTTTTCATGATATTCTAACTTTATGACCAGCAGCTGCATGGCTTCTTAGCACGAGCAATGTTGCATGCCCCCTGATATGATGCCAACGTAACAGTGTTTCATAAGTTTCTGGAAACATTTCGTCTGCTTCTCTACTTGATTTTTCAAGCAGTTTAACTTTTGAACCTTTGGAGAACTCTTTGGCCGTGTTCGGATGGACAGAGGTGAAAATGATGCTCCAACTTTGATGCTTTAAAGTGAGACAGTGAAGTCTGGCAAAGTAAGCAAAACTGTCTCCAATTATTTTCCATAAAAAATAAAACCATTCCCTTTCAGGTAGAAATATTCTGTTCGCCTCTTCATATTGACGCTTTGCTTTTCATTTTCCCGACTCAGCCATGAAGATCCGATCAGTAGCGCTAGCTTAACTGAATTCTACCTGCGCAGCTTTTACTAGTTCTACCTTCAAGGAGTGTGGGAAGTTTCAGTATTGTCACATAATCATTTTTTTAAACACCAATTTAAAAAAAGAGCCGCATGCAGCTCGAGAGCCGAAGGTTCGCCAGTCCTGAACTAAGAGCTTGTGCAAGCACAGCTAGAGCAAAGTGGACTACTGTCATCTTAAAAAAATCACTTCAATCAGAAATTGTTTTTTATAGCGGGCCATACAAATGTTTTATAAACATTTACACCATTATATCTGCATTAATTGGTTACAGTGTACACATCACTTTCTATGGAAGTAGCAGCAGCCTGGCTTGGTCCCAGCCTTGCACTGACTAGCCATTAGCTCATCAAACAGGTCAAACTATCAGATGAAACTATTTTGTCAAACCAAGGTCATTCATAGAGTGATCTACAACAGGTAAGACACTGACCGTTCACAACCTTTGCACTCCATTAGAACAGCAGAACAACAAAGAACCAGAAGAGCTGCTAAAATGGAAACGATCATTTTTTTAAATACACAACCAGCTGCTGTTTATCCACATACTGCTGTCTCGTGAAGCAAAAATATGAAATTAACAAAAAACTAAATGATAAATTTAGCTATACGAAATGGTTTTACTCTTCTTTAAGGGAAGTTCCAACTCTTTAATGTCAGTGTTTATGCATCTTGTTTCTTTTAGAAGTAGAAACAGTTAACTGGCCTTAAATCCAGTCATTTAGCTTTTTAAGAAAAAAGGCGAAACAACCCAACTACTAACAACTAAGAACAATATTTACTTTGTTTTATATTTTGCTACTTTATCAACTTGTTCTTGTGCACCCTAACTTGACAACACAGGAAGATCCGTTTCAAACGGAGTAAAAACAATATTAATTTGCAGCATAGAAATATAAAAAAAAAAAGTTTGACATATTTTAGCTATATACCAAGTTTTAAATATTTATTAAAGCTGCTGTTTGTGTCAACAACAACAAACTCTATCTAGATTTTAGTGTTTGTTTGTGGTGAAATGTTTAGTCCGTACCCCAAAGATGATGGACCATGTAGAGGTCACCGATCTGGGAGAAGAACCCCCCCACTGCCTCGCTGTTGCCCTGGCGATATTTGATCGCTCTGGCCCTGTGGAATTAAACACCAGTAAGAACAAGAACAAAAAAACATCAAGGTTTCCACTAAAAGATGAACTCTAGACTGTGTCTAATAACTGGACTCTGTTTAGTTAATAGCTCATGAGTGTTGGTGAAGGCAGTGTTTCAGATTTATTGTCTCACCTCGAACTCATAATCACCGTCTGTCTACCAAAGTATGATGCCTCATTTGTAAACACTGAAACTTGAAGCAGGAATTTAAGCCTTCGACTGCTCCAATTACCCTGAAATTGCTTTAAGTTGCTTTTTTTGACGCCATTTGTAGAACTACAGGGGGTTGTTCCAATGACGGCTGGGCGAAGTGAGCGTGAACGCAAACAAAAACTTGATGTTTTGACAGAACAATGATCGTTGGCAATATCTTTAGCAGCCAGAAACATGTCAACATCCGTAATCAAGAGGAAAAACGTCTGACGAGCAAAATGACTGATGGAAAGAAATGCCTCTTTGAGAAGTTTTCCAGACTTTTCCTCCTCTGGGATCTACAGCTGCCTTTTGAGTTTGACTGACAGTAGAGCTTCAAACACACGGCCTCTCAGAGGAATAACTCGTATTAACGACAGTGCGATGTGCTGCTGTAACTACAGTTCAACGAGTCAAATGAATTCAGGCTGCCTTACCAGTAATTACCCCACTCGATCATGGTTCCTGGCTGCAGAAAGGAAAACAACATACGACACACATTTTAAACAGGAAGTTTTCCACACTGCTTTTCTACTAATTGAACACATTAACAAATAAATGGCACGGATGTGATAAATTTCTATCATTAAGTTGCAATGACAACACCCAAAGACTTCCTCAACCGTTTTCTGGTGTTTAAGGCAACAGACGTTCCGCTGTTTGCCAGATATGATCTCAGCCCACGTCGAGGGATAATAGCTTGCATGCGTCACGTCATGAGGAGTGCTGATCAAATGAGGGTTTGACCTTTACAGATTAGAACAAGCAGCGCCGCATGAGATGGCGTGGTTTGATGATGCACCAACGATACAAACACAGATTATCTATCTGTGGCAGACAAACGCTGCCGATTTCTGCAAATATTTTTGTGTAACTTCGCTCTGCAGCAGACGGGCTCAGGCATCACTGTACACACAAAGTCTGAGAGCATGTAAACCGTTGGTACATCCCTCAGTTTGAACATTACACATTATCCTGCAGGTTTCAGGTGGACCTGCAGACGAGTGCTCGGGGTAAAACAGCTTTTCTTTCAAACAAACAAACACAGGATTATGTGTCCTTTAAGTTTTATATACATTATGAAAACACATAAAGTACAGTAAATCCTTTAGGAAACAGAAAGCAGCAGTGATTCTTGACCAGTAAAGAAGATAGTAATGAGTTTGCTTCATTTAATCCACTGTTATTGCCCGTTTGCACTGTTTCTGCTGTTGGTTCAATTCCTTCAGTCAGTTTTAACAGGACAGAAATCCCTCGTGCAGACCAGTAAAGTAATTACTTTGTGCATGTTGCTGATGCTGCGGCCTGTGTGACTCACCCTGAGCTGGTAGGACCTGAGCTCGTAGATGTTGGGGCCTTCTCGGGGCACAGGCTCATTCCAAAAGCTGAACTCCAGCAGGAGCTGATTCCTGCGAGACAGCAGCATCTTCCCTCGCTCCAATCTGTACTTTGTGAACTCCTGATGTGGACCAAACACTGATCTATAAGTTTTACTTTAACGTCAGAAAGCAGGAGCGACACAGGAACAGATGGCGATTACCTGGTTCTGCCTGAGCTTGTTCATCACCTCGGTCAGAGCTGGATAGCCGCCTCTATAACGCCACAGATGAACTGCAGGAACAACATCGCATAAGCACAAAGTCACATCTACTGCTGCTCGAAATTACAGGACACTGCTGCACTATCCATCTATTCAAGTAACAATAAAAAGATGATTTATAATAATAATCCTACCAGCCTGGTCTTGTTCTCCATACCAGGTATTCCAGGTCCCCACCAGCTCACAGGGGTAGAACTTATCAGCATGGATGGAGGGCAAAACATCCTCACTGTGAATGAACAAGAAACCATAATGAACAAAGTACTGAAAAGACATGATTTATAATCAGTTTCTGAATAGGTGGAAGGACAAAGCCTTGTCGTTATCTCGTGTTTGGGAAGAAAAAAAAAAAAAGACTGAAAACACGCTGCTGAGAAAGTTCAGCCACATCCTGGTCAAATACTGTTCCCACTGAAAACTCTTAACTGTGCACTCGTTTAAAAGTAACGTAAAAACTACACTCACCAGAGTTTATTGTATGCATCCAGGCACTCTGGCTTCACATTATGAACTGAAAAGAATAATATTATTATTATCATTTTAGGCCCGGGGTGCTGAGGTGCGTGCGGTGACTTACACTGAATTTTGTAAAGGTTGCTCTCCTCATTTTTAGTCAGCAAGGTGGAGTGGGCATCTTTTCTGGGATCCACTTTCCTCACGAACAGAGACTTGAACCAGCTGTCCTCTCTGTCTCTGCTGCTGGTTGTTGCAAACCCTCTGCAGAGGGACACAAGACATGGTGGACAGATGTTTATATTGTGGCTTTAAAGCGGTTTTAGGATGCAGGATGCTGTGGAAAAGATTTACCACTCCTGCTGAAATACCATAAATGCATAGTGACATTGGTGCACATGCAAGATAGCATCTGCAGGTATCAAAATGTCCCATATGGTGCATTTAATATACATATAAAATATCTAAAGCTATACAAACTGACCTTGAGCTTTTCATATATTCATTAAAAAAGCATGACAGAAACTCCTAATCTTTTACTTTTACAAGCACACAGACACACGCCTTTAAACGCACACATTTCGGGATAAATTAACGCAAAGTGAAGCTTCTGAGTGAGTTAGCAAAACGAGGATGTTAGCAGCAGTCAGGGTTAGCTTGGCTCCATGTAGCCACACGGTGAAACTCAGAAATTAACGTTCTGCAGCCAAAACATGACGCTAGGGAAACGATACGAAAACACTCGAGCTGATGACTGCCCACCTGTGACAGCCCATGAGCTGTCCGGCTGGGAGAGCCCTGACTTTAGCCGGAGCAAAGCCTCCGCGGACTCTCTGAAGGACTCGGGCTGCCATCTTGAACTGGGTTCAACGGATGGTCGTTTCAGCGTCTGACCAGTAGATGGCGCCAGAGAGGCGAGTCACTATCTGACCAGCAGATGGCGCCAGAGAAACGATTCAGTATTTGACCA